CTGCTGCTGCACCTGCCTGCACTCCTCCTCCACCCGCAGCAGCAGCCGCTGGATCTCACGGTTGTTGGGACACAGCTTGATGGCCTCGTTCAGGTCCTCCAGGGCTGCTGAAAACTGCCTGCTTGACAAAGGGACAGAAACGAGAACTGGAATTACTCTGGATTGGAATGGAGCCGTCCCGGGAGGCTCCCGAGGGGGAAGCGCCTTGTCCGTGTTAGGGAGGGAGATGTGATCATTCCCTGCCTCTCTCCCACCCTGTCCACGTGCCTCCCGTAGATCCATTTTATCCAAATTGAAGGAAAACCCTGGGGAAGTGAGGAACCCAGTCCTGAGATGGCACAACCCAGACTAGCAAGGACGCCCATCCTCTCCAGCCCACAAGATCATTCATTAACCCTCCTGGCACCACCACGAGCTCTGCCCCTACGTCAGCCAAGGGGAAGACAGAGCCTGGATGACCAGCTGAGCTCACCCCTGCTGGCCACAAGTGCTCACACCAGTGAAAAGGTAACTTCTGGTGGTGCCAAGACCACCCAGGGTCAGGGCTGGCTCTGGAGCTCCAGGCTCCTGAAGGCCAGCACTGTGGGCAAGGCTCCTCTTGCTAATTTTGCACTGGATTTGTTTGCAGGAGGAGCCTGGGAAGCCCCTACAAGGGAAAGGCCAGGCTGGGAGGAGCAAAAGGGAGGTGGAGGTTTGGGAAGGGGGTTGTCATCTACAGGGACACCGTTTGCTTTTGAGCAAAACCACCTGTTCGAACATGGTTGTCATCTGGGGGGTGATGACAGCAAAGAACTCCCCAGCACCTCCCAACACCAGCTGAAGCTTTTGCACAAGCCAGCGAGGAACAGGTGGAGGAAGGAAAAGCCTCCCAGTCTGTGCTGACCTCAGGGGTGCTGCTGGGCACAAACTGGGAAATACAGGAGCAAGGCCAAAGCAGTGACGGTTTCTGCTGGAGAAACCTCGGGAGAAAAGGTCACTGGTATGTGGGGAAGCTGATACCATCTGGAAAGGAACCCGTTCTTATGCTTCCTTAGAAGCATTTTGGAAACAATGGAGAGGGAAACCATTAAAGGAAAGGCTTTAAACTGGAAGAAGGGAGATTTGGGTGAAACATGAGGAGGGAATTTTTTGCTGTGAGGGTGGTGAGAGCCTGGCCCAGGTTGCCCAGGGAAGCTGTGGCTGCCCCATCCCTGGCAGTGTTGAAGGGCAGGTTGGATGGGGCTTGGAGCAGCCTGGGCTGGTGGGAGGTGTCCCTGCCCATGCAGAGGGTTGGAACTAGACGTTCTTTAAGGTCCTTCCAACCCAAACCAGTCTGGGACTTGATGTCACTGGCAGGGTTGGCAGGTGGGGCCAGCCCAGCCCCGGGCCCTTTGCTCCCTCTCTCCTCACCTGCTGCTGCGTTTGGCTCTTGCTCGTGCATAAAAAGCTTCGTACGACTTCGGTTTCAGCTCCAGAGCTTTCGTGGCAAATTCCTCTGCCATTCCAAAATCCTGTCATGACAATAGGTGTGCAGGTAAGTAACTGAATAGATACATAGATAAAAACATACACAGTTTGGGAATAAAACTAACTTAATATGGGCTTTTTCCTCTTTCCCCCCCCCCCATGTAAACTGGGAAAACTTGATGGAACTGAAATACATGGATTCAACAGAATTCCCAGCCAGCCAGCTATGATGGCATGGCCAAAGATTCCAAGCCTTGGCTTAATAACAGATGCTGTCAGCACCCATGGAGGCCCATGTGCCCCTGGCTCTGCTCTCACTGACTGTCCCCCCAACAAGTGCATGCAATCCCCCTCCAACAACCCACAGTCTTGAGGAAACATCTGGTCTCGCAGAGGCTGGAATGTAATCTCATGAAGGATTTTTATTCCACAGTGGAAAGCATTAGGCAAGCTTTTCCCACGCCCTCTGCTTCCCACTCTGCAACACTGACACACTTCAGAGGGGCTGAGTAAAACTGCCAGGGCTTGCCTGGCAAAGGGCTCCTACCAGTGCCACCCATCCCACTGCTCCCTGCCTCTCCCTTGCACCTCATCTGGGAGACTCGTTTGGGAGTGAGGAGGCAGAGGGTGACAGGATGGGCTGGAGACTGCTCAGGGGGCTTTGGAGTGGCAGTGCCACATGATTCAGCTGCAGTTCAAACCCTGCCAGCTGTCCTCACTTGCCTCACAGTGCTTCATGGGCTCAGCTCAGCAGCTGCAAATGAGACCTCTTCCCCGTGGAGGGGCTTCCATTCCACAACCAAAGGCTGCTTTGTCTTTCTGACCCGGGCTGTGACTCTCAGCAGCCCAGGGAGAAAGTACCAAAGTACTCCTGATTTGTTCAAAACCTCAATAAAAACCCCTCCATCTCCCAGAAATGAAGTTGGTGAGCACACCATGCCCCCTGGACAGCATGGAGCAGCCAGACAGGAGCAGGTAAGGCCAGTTGGACCTCATAAAAACCCAGGGTGAGCTTTAATCTCCCCTAAGGTATCCACACTGGAACTGCCTGGGAAGCTCATATGTTTGCTTGCACCTTCAGCAGCAGTTACTGAAGAAATACTGTCTGATGGACTAAACTGGGAAAGAAGTCAAACGGAAGGTACCTCTGTGGTCTCATCCTTAGGTGCAAGAAATGCAGGAGCAATTACAACCCTCAGAAATCTTCTAGAGGTGCAAAAACTGCAGGAGCAATTACAGCTCTGAAATTCCCTATCACAAAACCTGGGATTCCCCAGTTAACATGGAACCAAAACTCGTGTCCTGAAGGCACAGGCTTAGCTGGGGGTTGGCTTGTTTAGAGGGAAGGTTCACACTTTTTCTCCAAGCTGTGTTGTTTGCTCACCAGCATGAGGATTTTCCTTCCATTGCTTTTCACCTGTCTCCCTCACAGCTTAAAGAAAGGAAGGTGTTACAAAACCCCCTCCCCCCCTCTGGTGTAATCTTGTGGCCTTGGTGGAGATGTCACTTGTCTCTGGAGACTTTAAGTGGTGGAGGTGAAGGTCCTTGACTGCAGAACAAGGAGGAGGTGGCACTTGTCTGCTGGAAGAGCAGCAGACCATGCACGATTGGAGCAGGGAGAGTGACAGTGATTTGGCAGTTCTGGGAGGAGAGGGAGTATGAGGGGGTGTTTCTGGATGAGTCACTGCCCTGGGGAAGTGTTGGCCCCCTAAGCATATGCTCCTTCATTTGAAATTAATTAGTATTCAAAGGAGCACATCTCCTGGCTCCTCCCTCACCACTGCCCTAGAAATCTGGAAAATGCCTCCACCCCCAATTCACATCATCATCAAAAGGGAGCAATAAAAAATTCAAAAAGCTATAAACACAGCAATGAATTGTTAATTACCAGAAAGGCGTATTAAATCATTACTGCTTTGGGATGAGGAAATGTCAGAGCTGCCTGAAGGACAAGCAGGTTACACAGAGGAGGGATCTCAGAGGCCAAAGCACAGTTAGAGGATGGACATGTCTCTGTGCACAGGCAGAGAGCTGGCAGTTTGCCCTCAGGACCATGAAGAGTGGGGACACTTACATTCATTTTCCTTCGACACCGAGAGAGGTTGAGCAGCAGTGACACCTTCAGCTCACGGAAGGTTTTCAGGTCTTCTCCAAACCCTTCCCTGGGGAATTTTTTCAGAGCATACTGGTAGCGCTGGGCAGCCTCTTTCACTTTACCTTTCTAATAGAAGAACAACATGTCAAAACACACCGTTGGGTTTAACTTCACCACAGAGAACTCACTCACCAGCCCCATGAATGTTTGGAGTGGTGAAAGCAACACGACTTCACTATCTAGTTCTTCTCTAGAAAGGAAAACCAAAACATTTGATCAAGGGAAGAACATCTGATCTGGAAATGCAGATGCCTTGTGCAAGCTGAGTTCTCCCACTTGGTACAGAGTTGTCACTTTGCAGTGGGAAACAGCAGAAATTGTGTTATAACTTGATATGACTCCATCTGCTTTCTGGGTTGATGGTCTTTTTGGTTGGGTGATCAGTAGCCCATTTCTAGAGAACACCCTACACCCAAAGCTTAATAAGTACCAGGGAGTGTAAAAAATACACAGTGTGGGAGACTGGGTGGAGCTCCCAGGGCTCAGAGAAGCTCAAAGATAAACGTTATGGCACCCACATGGCTCTGAAGTTGGACAAACAGTTTGGGATTTATCTCCCTGGACTTGAAATGTCTAAGAATTAGGTGTCTCCATCAAAGCCTGTCAGCTGGGCTCCTTTTATAGATATTAGGACACAACAGTCACCTTCAAAGGTTGACTCATTTTTGCTTAATTTGAGCACCTATTTTTGGACAGGATGATCTGTGCCCTGGAGGGGGCAGCCATGGACACCAGGGTGAAAGAAAGAGGGCAAAATGTGATCTAGGACATATGGAATTCATGCTGACCCAGACAGAAATTTTGCAGCTACAAACAGTAAGCTTTAAAACCTTGTAGCCTCAGGTTTCTCAGCTGTATCACGTATCTCTGGCAGATAACTCCAGTTCCAATGCCAGCTTTGCATATTTTCTGCTTCACCCTTGGAGCCCAACAGTGAATCATTGTTGTACTTGCACATTTTGCATGTGCAAATCTCCAGGTTTTAAAGATCGGCTTAAAATCAACACCCAGCAAAAAAGAGTCTCTGATTCCAAGGGTGGAATGTCTCCCATGGGCTAAAGGACAGGACAGGACCATCTGTGTCCTGACGAGCTGTTTTCACTGCAAAAAGTTTCTTCTAGGAGTTGTTTGGGGATATTCTATCTGGTTGCCCTGCTCCACTAGGTAAGCACGACGCTGCCAAATCTGATGCAATGACATCAGCACCCTGAGTCTCTGTGAAACACTTGGGTTCTGGTGTTTGCAATGAGGAAATGAAATGCTGGCTCAAATTCAGAATGTGGAGAGATTTGGCTGGGCCTCAGCTTTATTACAGATCTAGGCAATCAACCCCCCCCAACCACCTCCTCCAACCCCACTAACCAAAAGCAACAACCCAAGGAAAGCTGTGAGCAGTAGCTTTTGCTTGTCACGGATGAAGGCAGCAGCCCTGCTCCCTCAAAACCTCATACAAAGTTAAGCTGCAAGCTGCATCTGTCCAGATTTTCCAACCCCACTCCTCTCACCTTATAAAACATGTCTCCCTCCTCCATCAGCTTGCTCAACAGGATGATCATGATGTCTGGTTTGGAGGTTGCCATCGCCCATGTTGCTGGACCTGCAGTGTACAGGATGCATGATGGGTAAAAAACTCATACAATGCAAGGGTGGTAGGAAGCTGGGTGGAAAAAATATCCTGGGGTGGGAATTTCTGCTGGAGAGAACAACTTGGCACAGTGAAAGGACAGAGTGCTCCAAATGATTGAGCTGACAATTCCTCTCGCACTTAAATTAACGTCGTCCACGGTGCAATGGTTTTTCCTTTGCAGTCATTAAGGCTCATGCTAATCAGCACCTCCACGAGGGGCTGGGAGATGATAGGAGCCGTTCCCACAAGAGGGCAGTGCTGCTTGTGGAACCAGCTGGGCTGGGGGAAACGGTCGGGAAGTTCGAAAGGAAAAACTCAGAGAGTGGTTCCATGAAAGCATTTCTAAATTAAACTCTCTAGAAGTGAACTAGGAAATCTCCAGTTGGGCTGTCGATGGATTTTGTGTTTAAGGGGATGGTGATTTCCATCTGAGAGTAGAAAATCCATGAAGGTGGAAAATAAAAGGGAAAGGTGGTGTCCAAGTGCTGCTGGTGGCAAAGCATCCACCATGGGCTGGGGACACGGTGGCTCTGCAGAGGGGCCACCCATGCAGAGCCAGCCCTTATCTCAAGGTCTAATATTGGGAAGGAAGGGGAGGGCACAAAAATCTAGGGACGACTCATTAGTGTGTGTGAGGAATAAGCCAACAACATTCTGTAAGTAGATTCAGTACGTTTTGGGGGAGGGCGGGTTAGTTTTGGAGTTCAAGTTATTCTCTGCAACAGTCATTAAAAAAAAAAACAACTGATTGGAAGGTGAGGTAAATTAAAAAGATTAGAGGTGTTGGGGAGGCATGCAGGCTAAAATCAAACAGGAGAAAGCAAGGCTGACAAAGCTATCAGATCGAAGCTGATGCTGACAGCAATGAGATATACCTCGTGGGCGACTCGGTAACGTCTGACAACCTTCAAAGAAAGGAGAAAACAAAAAGTTGTAGGAGAGAGGGGGGGGGGAAAAATATGGATGAAGGTGAAAAAAAATAAAACAGAACCAAAACCAAAAGAAAGAAAGGAAAAAAAAAAATATAAGCAGCCGTGAGAGGCAGGCAGCAAAGAAGCCAATGCACCAGCAAAATCCCCTTTCACAGGAAAACGTGAGGTGAGCGGCTGCGCGGCGCGGTCGGGGAGCGGGCACAGAGCAAGGGAACGCAGCAGCTCACAGCAAGGCAGGACAGAGTACGTGTGGCGACTCGGACTAGTAAAGATAGAAAAAGCATTACCAGAGGAAAGACCTTGCCAAAGGAACAGTTGTTTATTGATTACACTTGGCTAAGTGATACGACAGGAAAAATATTACCAAAAAAAAACCACCAAACTAGAAGGAAAAGTCCCCCCGTTTTAATTCACAAGCGTCGGGCGGGACCTGCTGGCTGCTCTTGGAGAGCAGCTGCTGGGGCTGAGGAATTAGAGGGGTGTTTGCTAGGAAAGCAGCCCCGCTGCCCCGAGTCCTGCCTGAGCACACAGCTGGTGGCAGATTGTCCCCTTGTCCCTACCTATCTTGGCTCCTTTCTTCAGGAGAGTGACGACGACCGAGGTGTTGCGGCAGCCCACCGCCCGGTCCAGCGGCCGCATCCCGCTGTAGTCCACGTGCTCAATCATGGCTCCATGGTCCACCAGAAACTGAACCTGCAATGAGAAGCCTGACAGTCAGTTCTGCTCCTGGGCAAGACCTTTGCTGGTGGTGTTCCAACCAGAATAAGCTCTTTCTGCTCCACTGCTTGGGTTAAAACGACCTCTGTAAGGTCTGAGGGTCCATCAGTGTCATGTGTTATCCCCTTTGTGGGAGCACTTGCACATATGGAGGGTCAGGACTCCATATGCTTATTGGAGTATCAAGGTGAGCTGTACTATCCTGCCCTTCTGCTCTGCTGAGCACCTGGAGGAGCACTGTGTCCAGCTCCGGAGCCCTCAGCACTGGAAAGTCATGGAGCTGTTGGAAAGGGTGCAGAGGAGGCCACGAAGATATGAAAAGGGCTGGAGCAGCTCTGCTCTGGGGACAGGCTGGGAGAGTTGGGGTGTTCAGCCTGAGAAGAGAAGGCTCGAGAGACCTCAGAGCACCTTCCAGTACCTGAAGGGGCTCCAGGAAAGCTGGGGAGGGACTCTGGACAAGTGCAGGGAGTGAGAGGACAAGGGGGTATGGTTTTAAATTGAAAAAGGGGAGATTTAGGTGAGACATCAGGAAGAAATTCTTCACCATGAGAGCAGTAATGCACTGGAACAGGTTGCCCAAAGAAGCTGTGGCTGCCCCCTCCCTGAAGGTGTTCAAGACCAGGTTGGACGAGGCTTGTGCAGCCTGGTCTGGTGGGAAGTGTCCCTGCTCATAGCACGGAAGATTGGACTGGATGATCTTCAAAGTCCCTTCCAACTTTCACCATGCTACGTTTCTACTTTAAGGCTTTTACACCAACACCCCTTTTCCCCTGCAGGTACTACAGCCACTCACCACCTCTGCATCTCCATAAAAAGCTGCCAGGTCCAGAGGAGTCCGCCCGTTCTTGTCGGCGTGGTCGGTGGCAGCTCCATTCTCCACCAGGGAACGCACCACGGAGAGATGTCCTTTCAGACAAGCCCAGCTGAGGGCTGTCAAGCCCTCCTTGTCCATCAGGGCAATGGAGGCACCTGAAAGAACAAGCACCAGTTCACTCAGAGCTCCCTGTTGTTGAGCACAATGACCCAACAAACCACCTGCTTAGTGACGACAGCTTATTTTTAGAGAGCTACGTCCACAGTTATTAATTAATGTATTACAATTTCTCCCACCATGGATCCCACCCTCCATGGCAGCTTCAAAAGGAACCAACAGAAACTGTGGCAACTGAGTTTATTCACACCAAGCTGCAAACTTTTTCACACCCAGCTCTGTAGGCTTTTCTGGCAACCACCTTCTGAGCAGCAGGGTGGATTTGACATTCCTCATCTGAGACATCAATCTTCCTTTTTAAGTGTTTTTGACTGTTTGTTTTTTTTTCAATCAAACCCATTCCAGCCTGTGCGAGTCAGAGATGAAGACCATTTTGCTGCTTCAGCAGGTCATGGTGCATCAAGGGGAACTAAGTTAATTCAGCTAAGTTCTTCTAAAAAAACCCCACATATTTTCCCCTCTTCACTTCCCTCCATTTACCCAACTCGACACAATTTCCAGTGGTGTTTCTCCCTGAACTCTGCCCAATATAAATACAACGTTGTGGGATAAACTCCTGACAACTCCAAGCCCAGAAGAGAGGGATTTGACACTTTCTTGGATGAAGAAACCAGGCTGCCACAGCAACAGGTCAGCACTGCTCCCCACAGCATATGGATCCCCAGGAGATCTGAATGGTGGCATCAAGGGAAGGCTCCTCTTGGTGGCACAAGGACAACTCCTGTTGCCACGGCACAGGCTCCAGCTCTTGAGTCTGCACAAGATCCCTCCCAGCTCTGCTGCTCCCAGGAACTGCAGCTACCTGTGGGATGCTCCTGCCAGCAGGCTGGGAGGAATTGCTGGTGTGGGTTTTTTCTCCTGTGGGTAAATTGAAAACTGCCCAGCATGAGATGTTCAGTGGCTCCAGGAAGCTCAGCCGGGGGAGGAGTGACATGAACTCCCTGAACCTTCCTGTTCACCCCAGATGATGCACCCTGGTCAGCACACATGATCTGATGATAGCACACTGACAGGTCATCCAGTCATTGAACCCCTGACTGGTTTGGGTTGGAAAGGACATTAAAGATCATCCAGACCCACCCCCTGCATGGGCAGGGACACCTCCCACCAGCCCAGGTTGCTCCAAGCCCCATCCAACCTGCCCTTCAACACTGCCAGGGATGGGGCAGCCACAGCTTCCCTGGGCAACCTGGGCCAGGCTCTCACCACCCTCTAAAGACTAGAGGTCTTCCAGCCTGCACAGCTTCTTGTTTGTAGAGGAGGACAATGCATGAACACCTTCTCAGGACACATTCAGAAGCCTCCACCCAGAGGTCCCAGTCCAGGGGCAGGAACCTGCTTACCCCAGTGTGGTGAACCAGCCAGAGGGTGGCAAACAAGGGCTGGGACAGTGTGCTGAGGGGGGACACTGCCTGCAGGACAGCTCCAGTGTACAGGCCAAGGGGTGACACCATCAGTTCCCAACATCTTGCCAGCCTCCTCTCACGTTGCCCACACTGCATCCAGGAACCCTTCTGAAGCTCTGTGACAGCTCTCCAGATGATCCTCAGCTGACCCTAGACCAACCTTTGCTCAGCAAAACAGGATAAAATGTTGTTTCATTCCTCCTTACTTGTACCAGTGACCTTCTTGCCATCAAACCTTCAGTCTTATGTTTTCCCTCTGACTCTCCTGGACCAGGTGAGAAAGCTCCTGCATCCAGAGGGAAGGCTGGAAAGCTGCTCCATAACTCAGTCTTACTACTCTTGCCCCAGTCCTGTGGAGGTGAACCAGGATAACAGGCCCAGACTCCAGGGCATCACTGCAACAACACAACTGAAGATCCAGGAGAGCAGAAATGCCAAAATGCTTCTCAGAGGGAGGTTGGTCATGACCTCCACCCACGTCTGGAGCTCCTGGTGCAGCCCTGGCTCCCAGCAGAACCTCTGCTGGACTCTGAAGGCATGTTCTGCTCCTTTGGGGATCTCTGGCCTACCTGGCATTAAGGCAGTCAGAGATGTTGGCCTCTTCTCCCAAGCAAATAACTTCAGAAAATGGCCTGAAGTTGCACCAGGGGAGATTGAGACTGGATATTAGGAAGAATTTCTGTATCCAGAAAGAAGTAGTCAGGCCCAGTTTCCCACAGAGGTGGTGGAGTCACCATCCCTGGAGATGTTCAAGAAACGTATAGCCATGGCACTTCAGGAGATGCTCTAGTGGCCACAGTGGTTTGTGATGTCTTAACTCTGGGTTGGTGGCTGGACTGTCATCTTCCAGGTCTTTTCCAACTGTGATGATTCTGTGATGAAACAAACTGATGGTTTTGAGGGCAAGTGGCTTCAGGTGACATCATGGGCCTGATCTCTGATGCAGCAGGAAAGATTTTGTCTGGGTGAAGCCAGGCTGGTTCTGAGAAGGGCTGGGCTGCTCCCTCCCTAAACCACAAATACCTGGCTAAATGCAGGAGTTGATGATTTGATACGTGAGGAGCAGTACCCAAGAGTGAGGAGCAGCACCCAAGAGAGAGGAGCAGCACCCAAGAGAGAGGAGCAGCACCCAAGAGTGAGGAGCAGCACCCAAGAGTGAGGAGCAGCACCCAAGAGAGAGGAGCAGCACCCATGTGGGCCCCAAGGAAGCAAAATCATTGAGGGATCAATTCTTGCTGGGAAACAAGATCCTGAACTGAGCTCTCTCCAAAGGAAACAAGCACCAGGAATTCTTTTCCTTTGTGCAACACAGATCTGTGCAAACAGCAGCTTTGGCAGAGCTGCTCCCAGGGGAGCTGAGTTCACTGCTCACAGGTCTGGGACTCCTGGGTGTCAGGCAGAGCTGCAGGTAACCCCAAAAACCTGGATTTCAAATGGATCAATGACTGCAACTCTGTTAATAACAAGTGCTTACAAACATTGACTGTGTTAATCAAGTAGAGTCAAATGAGATTTGCTTTGCAACAGACTAATTAATGCTTATGGCTTATGATTCACACCCTTGGATTTTAATGAAACCTTGAACAGGATTGTCAAAGCCATTTTAATTAAAATATACCATATATCACTGTACTCTGCCCAGGCTTGAGCTCACTTTTCAGGATTATGTGTCATGGCATATTTAGTGGAGTTTATTAAGATGTTCAGAAGGATGGACCTTTTAAAGGAAAAAAGATTTTCATATTTTTGGCTTCTTGCACTCTCAGTGTCCAAAAAGCCAGGGAAGCATCATGTGCATTTGATCCCACAGCCAAGATCAGATTATCTGGTATTTTCATTCCTCACTGAATCAGTCCTAAGCAACAAGCACAGCTCTCACATCTGGCAAAAATATTAAATTCATTTATTTTAAGCCTTTTACACAGATTCAGTTGAGCTGCAAAAAGGGCCCCACTACAACCCAAACGTGGAGAGTGTTAATTTGAATTTTTTTTTTTTTTTAAAAAACAGAATATCAGAAAAATAATTAATTGAATTAATTCAGAAGAAACTCATGTCTCAAATGGATCTTTGTGACATCCCTGTGGATGTTCCAGTGCTGGATTCCAGTGCTTGTTCCAGCAAGGACCCTGCTGGCTTGTGGCTCAGGACAGACAGATAATGAGAAACTTGTTCTGGGAAGCCTGGCAATTTTACAGTGCAAAAAAAGAAAAAAAAATGTTCTTACAGCTACTATGTAAAAATATTCAAGTGTCTCACATTTTGGCTGAGGTCAGACACAGTCACTTACGATATGCAGAAAATATCCCTTCCCAAAGAGAGGGATCTTACCTGAAATAAAAATATCAAATAACAATACAAGAATTAAATGCTATTTCTAGCAAAAAAAAAAAAAAGGAAAATTACCCAACTAAACCAAACAAACATTGGCTGTCAAAAAAAAGAGAGAGAAGTATTTAAGGAGCTACAGAAATAAGCAATAACTGCTCACATGGGTTGCAGGCAATGAGTTGTTCTGACTCACCTTGAAGAGCAGAAATGAGTAAAACTCAAACATGTTCCTGTCAATTGAGTAACTTCCAGAGAAGGGGAGATACTAGACATGGAAAGGACTGAGTAAAGTGAAGCTGGGAGAGCAGGGCTGAAGAGCAGAGTATCTTCAAAACAATTCTGGTTTATTTTCAACCAATACACCAGCTCCTTGCCTGTGTTAGGGCCTTACCCTCCTGCTGATGTGGGGTCCAAAATGTGGACAACAACACCAGGGCTGAAAATGGAAGAGTTAAAATGTGTCCCAGCCTCTGGCCCTGTGACGGACCTTGCCTGCCACTCCCATGGTGATGGTGAGAGTTCAATCCCATCACTTGTTCATTGTTTGTGTCTAAGGGGAGAGCTCCAAGCATGGTTCAAGGGCATATTATTAACTCAGGGCTCAAAGCACCTGTGAGATGTTATTTTCTAACTCAGGTGTGTGGTTTGGAGGCTGAGCACCAAACACAGACACCAAGATGGGCAGCAAAGATTAACACTATGACTATTCCAGCCTTGTTCTCCAATAAGCTGCATAGGGTGCTGAGAACCTCTCCCATCACCTGACCCAACAGTGGGATTTACAATCCCCACCCCAGCATTACAAACTCCAGCTGTGCAGGATAGTGTGGTGGGACTTGCCGTGGCTGGTCTCCAACACATTTCCAAGGCTACACTCTAACCTTGTGCAAGCAGGAACTCCACTGTGCCCAGGTGTCCCTCAGATGCAGCCATCATCAGCGGCGTCCGGCCCTGCTTGTCTGCCATGTTCACATCAGCACCGTGTGTCAGCAACAGATCCACGATCTGCAACACACACAGAGAGCACACACGTTGTAGGGATGGAGGGACCCAGCTGGGAACACACACAGTGGATGGAGAAACCCAGCTGGGAACACACGCTGGAGAGAGAAACCCAGCTGGAACCACACGTTGTATGGATGGAGAGACCCAGGTGAGAAGAAGCCAGAGCCAAGAAGACCAGAGCAGTCCTCAAGTCTTGAAACCTCATCCTCCAAGGCATGGTGACCTCTGGGATTACTGCTGTGACACTAGGGCACAGGAGAAGCAATGCAGGTATAAGGACAGGAAAAATGCCCTTTTAAGTCAAGAACATCCAGTTGCTTCCCAAAGACAGGGAAGGTCTTTCCTGCAAGAGCTCAAGGTGTTCGACGCATCAGTATCACTACTGATCTTTCCCCAGAAGAGCTGGGGTTTGTCTTCTCCACTCATCCTTCACTAAGAGGGAAGGGATGGCCTGACCCTACACTTGAGACCCACCCAGCCCCCCAATGGACATGAGGAACTCACTCACCTGCCAGTGGCCCTGTCGGACGGCGCTGAAGAGCGGCACGACCCCGCGGCGGTGGGGCTGGGCCACCGCGGCGCCCTGTTCCAGCAGCAGCCGGCAAACCTCCAGCTTCCCGCGCCCTGCTGCCGCCGTCAGAGCTGCAGGGGAGAGAAGAGGAGTCAAGGGCAAGAGC